GTGCACCGAACAGCTTGGACCCGAAAGAGCTACGCACAGGAGGTAGTTCTGGCACGGCAGAGCTGAGGCTGAGCATAATGACTACAGAGAACCAGGAAGGGAGGAGGTTCCCGCAGCAAGCCACACGTCAGCAGAGACTACTTAGGGTGAATGGAGACTCAGCCCCCCAGAGGAAGAGGCCATCGAATCCTGCGGACACCAGGCAGCATTGGGGTTTACGTTACAAAAGAGATTCAGTTATTTTAATTAAACCCTGGAGCACAGGGGTGATTTTCAAGAATGATTGTTCATCAAACAATATACTCTACCTAGGAAATAAACCTTTCCTACCTTTTCTTAGAGAGAGGCTAGTGTTTTCATTTTAAATCAGGAGTACAGATTTCTCTGGACTTCTTTTGATGATTTTTCAAGGCCTTTTTGTTTCCAAAGAGCCAACCTTAGTTCCATGGTATATTCTTGTGTGGTTAAAAAACAATTCCCACCCTTGGGGCTCAGCTAACAATCCTCAACCATCACCATCGTCTCTGTATGCTTGAACCTGCTCTGTCCCCAACACATTCATCACCAACAACCTCAGCCATCAAAGGAACCAGAGTTACAGTTACTTTAGGGTTAGAAGACAGAGTATCCTAACGTCTGTTGGCTGCAGCCCCCCTACCTGTGTCTTCAGACCGCACTAGAGAATCTGTCAGTGTGCAGAGTGGGATAGAACGCATGGCACTCAAAGTTAAATTGTCAACAATTTTGCAATTTCCTTTTGTGGAATTTTTCAATGTAGAAAAATGTATAATGAACTTAATAAATGTCACTTGTAGTTCAACTTAGTTAAATGCATGAAGAACTTAAGGATAAATGAAAATGCACAGGAAGGGAACAGAAAATCCTATATGAAATGTATGGTTATTACAGAAAGTCTGAGAAAATCTAATGTTTTTGGGGCTTCACCATCTGAAGAAGAAAAGCTGTCCCTAACTTTAAGGTAAATCATTGCCCAAGGAAAAAAATTAAGGTTGCTGAAGCCTACCATACCAGAGGTAGTAGGCTCAGTAGGTAGGGCTGGGATATTGGTTACACTGGGGGGAGATTTGCCAACAACCAAACATGGGAGAACATGGATTTTAGCAAATATAGATCCATTTTCATTTATTTTTGTTTTTGTTTTTGTTTCTTCTGGTACCTTGAATAGAACTCACGACCTCGCCCTTGCCAGCAGGCACTGTGCCGCTGAGCTAAATCCCTAGCCCCTTCCATTTAATACTGTAATTCTTTTTTTTTGTTTGTTTTTTTCTGGTACCAGGAATCAAACTCACAACCATGTGCTTGCCAGGCAGGCGCTGCGCCGCTGAGCTAAATCCCCAGCCCCTAATACTGTAATTCTTAATTTTTCTTTTCTTTTTTTTTTTTTTTTTGAGACAGGGTCTCATGTAGTCCAGGGTAGCCTTAAACTCATGGTAATCCTCCTGCCTCAGCCTCCCAAGTGCTGGGATTATAGGCATGCACCACTGTGTCTAGCTATAATTCTTAATTTTTTCAAAGTAGAGGTAGCTCAATAGTAGCGTGCTTTCCTAGCATGCACAAGGCCCTGCACTGCCAAAAATAAAGTTGGACACAATGTGTGTCCTGAGAAGTTTTTGTCTTTTTTTCTAACTTTAAAAAAATTTTTTTTGTCTTTTTGAGACAGGGTCTTGCTGTGCAGTTCACCTGGCCTTGAGCTCACTTTGTAGCCCAGGCTGGTCTTGCACTCTCAACGATCCTCCTGCCTCAGCCTCCCAAGTGGTGGGATTACAGGTGTGTCCCACGACGCCTGGCACGAAAACTTGTGTTTTGAACCAGGCCATGCACCTCAGGCTGGCTTTAAACTTGTTATCCTCCTGCCTCAGACCCCTACTAGCTGGGATTACAGGTGTGTGCATTTCAGCTCTGCTAGCAACTCCAGTCTTGATGGACAGCATAACACAAACTAATTGCTCAGGGAAGGCACTGGAAAGGCAGATTTAATAGCCTTGTCACCCACACCAGGCATTATTGTGCTTTATCTAAAGCCCTCATCTTATCACACACCCTCTTTGAAATCCTTCAGCAGCTCCTCGCCTTTTATGGAACTGGACCTAAGCTTCTCAGCAAAGCTTACGAGGCCTTTCATAAACCAACCCCTCACCCACCTGTCTCTTCAGTGCCTCGATTGTCTGCCCACCTGATCATCGTGGACACCTACACCTGTGCCCACCCTGTTGCTTCTGCCAAGAATGCTCCTTCCCTACTCGTTCACCCAGGAGACCCTGGGCGCACCCCTCCTCTCTCAGATCCCCTGGATGCCCCATCCCCTCCAGAGCAGAATGAATGAATCCTTGTCCCCAGGGTTCCCACAACTCTTCATTTATTTATTTATTTATTTATTTTTGAGACAGGGTCTCGCTATGCAGTTCAGGCTGGCCTTGAACTCACTTTGTAGCCCAGGCTGGTCTTGAACTCACAATGATCCTCCTGCCACAGCCTCCTGAGTGCTGGGATTACAGGCGTGCGCCACCACGCCCAACCCCACAAGTCTTTATATACCTCCTCGCTCACAGCGATGTAGTGCTTGCTAATCAATCTGACTCCCAACTGGACTACAAGATTTTAAAGGAAAAGTCTGAGGTTTAAGCTTTAAGTCCCTGTTCTCCTACGTCATATCTGGGACACAGTAACTGCTTAGTGTTTGAAAGGGGAGTAAATGTGGACATGCTGAGACCTTGCCAGAAAATACAACAAACAGAGTGTAGATCTACCAGCGTTCCAGCAGAAGGAACAACACACTCTTCTCCACTCTGACACAGCATTTTAGGCTTATTCTCAATCAGTTTAATTTAAACTGATAAATTACTGCCAGTGGTAGGCTAGAACCACTGTAAATCCATCCCTGATAATTCCAACAAAATTATTCTTTGAAGGTCACCATATCCCAGGCTCTGGGTTTAGCGATGAGTTCTTATTATGGGTACAGATGAATAGAAAGACTAGGGGCCATTAATAATAAAATAATAATATTTTAATAAAAACAATAATAAATATAATGAAATATTTTACATGTCTACATTATGTAAAACACATTATAAAACTTTTCTCAGACACAATTTCATTTTCTAAAATCTGTTCCACCTAAAAAGCTTGTTTCTCCATGTACAGTAGTGGTGTGGAATCCAATAATCACACCACTTTCTAGTTTCTTGCTGTGCTGGAAGCCTTATATGCTGTCTTCACACACGTTGTCCCTGTGGTCAACAGAAACAACTCATACAGCCCAAAATCGAGACTCATCTTTTTTTTTTTTTTGTCTTTTTGAGACAGAGTTTCACTATGCAGTTCAGGTTGGCCTTGAGCTCACTTTGTAGCCCAGGCTGGTCTCAAACTCACAACAGTCCTCCTGCCTCAGCCTCCTGAGTGCTGGGATTACAGGTGTGTGCCACTACACCTGGCATGGATTTTGAGTTCAATACTAGTGTTAAATGACGGCCACCTCAGCAAACGCTCCACCTGAGAGCAGGTTCGTCCAGGCTGGGAGACACTGTCCGGCTGGTTCCTTGGTACTTGGCATTGGCCAGCCCCTGACCCATTATCATGCGCTGTGACTGTCTGTGCTCTCATCTATACCCAGTTAGGACTTCAAATTCCTTGAAGGAACTGGCATGGATCTTGTCTTTCTCCTTGCATGAGCTGCCACATAGCACACTGCACATGGCGAGAGTTTGGTACATATTTTTTGAAAGAATAGCTAAGCTAATTTTATTATTTCAGGGAGAGCCTAATGGCTGCCAGCAGTCTCAGGGAGAGGTTGTATTGGTTTGGATGTGGAGAGGTTTGTGTGTATACATGTGGTGGAAGAGCTGGTCTTGTAGGTAGGAAACCGATTTAAGATCACTAGGAGAATACACAAAACCATGTATGCACGCTCATGTGTGCATGTGTGTGCGCACACACCTCTTCCCTGGAATCTCCCCAAAGCTGAACCTCAGATGTCTGAATTTTCATCATCAAGGTCTTGCGTTTGGGTGAGAGAAGCCTCCCACTCAGAGGTGCCTCACTACCACAGGAGCGAGCACACATTTCCAGCCTTGGGCAGTCCCAAACCCTGCTCCCCTGGCTCTGCTGAGTCTCAGACGGGCCCCTGCTTACTCTCTATAGTTTGCATCAAAAAGTGGTTTTGGCTTCTTAAAAATATGGTTCCACATCAAGTAATCTCATTCAAACTCTATATACTACCATATTTTAAAGGATTAAAACACATCCATTTGTATAACTCCATAAGTTTAAAATGATACTAAAAACAAAAGCACAAACTTGATTGGACATATTAGAAGACTTATCGAACAACTTATTCTTTAAAAATGTTTACTTTATTAGCACATGTTTTAGTATGCAATGATTACAGGTAATGATCACATTTATTGTGGGGAATTGGTGCATGTACACAACACACTTTAATTCTTTTTACACCCCGACTAACTCCTAGTGTTCAAAGTTAAATGGAGAGGAAAAATCAAGTATTTATTCTTTTCTATAAACTGTACCACTAAAGAAGCAAAGTGTAAGAGAGATATTTGTCAGTAAGTAAAGAAGAACTGCTAGAATTAGAATTCTGTTTCCTAAAATAGAGTGAGAATGTACTAATGAATTTAAACATTGCATCAGTGTTCAGTAACTGCAGAAAAAAGGAAATCAGACATTATATACCTTAAGGTGGGAAGAAATACTATAACTAAAGCAAAGTCTTAACAAAATTCTAGATCCAGCAACCAATTCATGAGAAATGTAGAGACAGCAGAACATGTTAAACCAACAAAGTGTAAAATAAAAAAACACCCATGAAACAGAAATTTAAACACTGGCTGGGCATGGTAGCACATGCCTGTAATCCCAGCATTTGGGAGGCTGAGGCAGAAGGATCAATGCAAGTTCAAGGCCAGCTGGGGCTACAAAGTCAGTTCAAGGCCAGCCTGAACTGCATAGTGAAACTCTGTCTCAAAAAGACAAAAAAAAAAAAAAAAAATTATTAATTGCATTTCGAATATTCTGAATTGTTTTTATGGATTGTGGATTGAATCCAGGTCTTTGCCCTAAGCTACACGCTCCAGCCCTTTTTTTATATTTTTATTTTGAGATAGGGTCCGGCTCAGGCTCTAAACTGCCCAAGATGGGCTTAACTTTCTGTCCTCCTCCATCAGCCTCCCGGAGTGCTGGGATTACCGGTGTGCAGTGCCATTCCTGGTCTGATATTTTCTTCCTAAGAGACAGCCATCCTTTCCCAGCCCTTGAAATCATTATCCTAGGGCATCTTGCGGAATTTATCAGTACATAAGGAAAAGTAACTTATTACTCTATTAACATGTCTTTGTAAATACAGAGGCATATTTCCTGGATTACCTTTAACCCTGAAAATACAGAGTGCCTGTGAGCGGAGGTAAAAAGAAAACCTCAGAGAGAAGAAAGGGAGGCCCAAAGGAGGGAGCTGGGAAGTTGGGGCGCACACCGCGTCTTCCACTGTCCTCTGGGCCTTTCACGGTGCGCGCATCTGCTTGGTGTGAACTTGTACTGAGACTCCTATTCGACGCATGGAAAATGGTTCAGTTCCTGGTTATCGGGTTAAATCTTCACAAGGACCCCCTGTTATGTTGTCCAAGGCCGCCCCAAATATTTTTGAGAGAAAAGGCGCTCGTTTCCATTAGTCAGGGAACCAAGGCGGAGACTTGGGTGGGGCTGGGGCACATTTTTCTCTGAACCTAAGAACAGTCCAGCCTTGTGCACTGAACCACCAAGATGTGGAAACCAGGAGGCAGCGAGTCTCTCCAAGGGCTCCTGAGCATAGTTCTTCACGCACAGCTCTGGAAGAACGCCAAGAAATCAGTGGCCTCTGGGTAGAGAAGCTGGGGCACTTGGAAAATGATAAAAGAAAAAAAAGGTGTGATTTAAAAAAAAATTGTCATAGCCATATTATACTGTGCTTTAAAGTACACTGTGACATTTTGCAAACAGCCTCTTGTTGACCTAGGCAACTGCACCTTTTATCTGGGAACCAGAGAGAAGCCAGATGTCCATTTATGGGCTCCGGGCTGGCCAGCTGCGTGAGCATTTCTCCTGAGTCTTCCCGCCCCAGCCGCCTCCTATCTAAATGGGAGTAGGAGATGTTGCTAGACCTGGCCAGGACAGCCTACCAGCAGCTTTATGAAAACATCAACAGTGGGGCGCAGTGCTGAGCCAAAGCAAATTTCCACAGAAGTGGTGTCTTTGGTGGCTCCTATTTACCTTGAATGTTTGGGTAAAATCTGCAGTTGGTGATTAGAAATTTTATTTATTTTCTGGATAGAGTCTCACTTTGCGGTCCTCCAGATTTACACTCCCTAGTAGCTGGGATTACAGGCATGCACTGCC